CAAAATATTTTTTTCTATTTTAATTTGAATTTGATTCGGAGTTTCTACCGCAGTTTAGCACCTTGTACATCATTTTTTCTTAACACAATAAAAACAACCAGAAACAAACAAGAATATCCATCTCTTAAAGCACGCCGTGGACCCTATTTTCCAACTTTCCTTTCGCAAATATAAACAGTTAACAACGCCATTGACGTCAACATTGATTCCTGCATCACTGCCAGCCAGATTGATGTGATCCCTCTGTTCTTTTTATTCCACGATTGCTACTGTCAAATCGACCAATCAGCAACTGACTCGGATTTGACAGCAAATTGGCTTGAAATCGCTACCCGATTTTCAAGTCCCGTCCCAGGTGTAGTGGTAAGCGTGACTTCTTTCGCATCCCAATGCACACTGGGCCAGGAATGCAATCTAGCGCAGCAAAATTAATAACACCGAAACGAAGCATTTCCGCGACTTGGTGTCTTCGGCAAAGTTTCTCATCATAATAAGGACCATCTATTGACATAAACAAATAGTTCAAAACTCTTCCGCAAAGATGGCGCCACAATCTAACTTCTTTCTCTGGCGTTTTGGAGACTTAATGTCTTGTGCAAAGTTGTTCATCTTGACAAAATAACCAACTCTTTCGAAGATGTAAAATTTCCACAGCCTACTGGTTCTGAGTTATAAAAAGTTAAAGAAAAAAAATGTCGAAAATATGGTTTTTTCTTTCTGTTTTGTTTTTATTGCTTACAACCAGGCTTGCTTCCACTCACTTGCTATAAAAACATGATTTTCTGAATTTTGAAATCAATAGATGTTATAATCATATTTTGTACTTGTTATATACAAGAAGAGGTTGAAAGGCAAGTGTTTGACACATGAAACCTGTCAAATTTGCTTTCAGATAGTCACAATCAGCGATTTTACGACTCGCGAGCGCTCACTCTGAGTGAACGCTCACGAATCATAAAATCGCTAATTGTAACACTCTGGTAGCGAAATTGACAGATTTTATGAGTCAAAAACTTGCCTTTCAACTTCTTCTTGTATCTAACAAGTACAAAATATCATTATAACATCTAATGATTTCAAAATTCAGGAAATCATTTTTTTATAGCAAGTGAGTGGAAGCAACCCTGCTTACAACCATATAATCTTTTATTTTCCTCTTATGCAAATGCATCAAATAAATAACTTTTGTGAAGAAACATACTGGTTTAAGCTTCAAATTAAAAAAAAAAACCGAACAGAACAGAGACCGACGTTAAATTAAGGAAAGAAGAAGAAGAGTATAAAAGAAATGATTTTTATCAGCACTGACACCAGATGTTAAAAAGAGCAGGAACTTTGGTGGTGAAACATTGATGGTTTGGAGAGCATTTTCCATTCCAGGAAAGCTTCCATTGGTGTGAATTTCAACAAAAATTAAGTAAGAGGATTGCATAAAAATGTTGAACACGGCGAGTAATTGATAAGTCCTGACTTTGTTTTCCAACAAGATAATGCTGCAATCCACAACTCAAAACTGACTAAGGCGTGGCTTTCTGATACAAACATAGATGTTGTCGAGTGGCCAGCATATTCTCCGGATCTTAATCCCTTAACAAATCCTTTGGTCTATATACTTGTTCGCGCGTTTACAAAAATGGTAAACAATTCGATAACGTAAGCATGCTCAAACGTCGAGTTCGAGAACACTGGGAGCAAATTAAGCAAGAAAATTCTTGAAAAACGGATTTTGTCCATGAGAACGCGACTGATTGAAGTTATCCGAAACAATGGCTCATACACACATAGCTAAGTACTCCTTGAAGTTGTATTTTGATAAATAAATCTTTTTTTCGTTTTCTATTGTTGTAATGCAAATGAACCCAAAATTCAAAATAATTTTATTCTGATTTGATCTTTCACTTATTTCAGATCATTTTATTGGAAGTAATTTAGATTATGGTTAATTATTGTTCTGAAATAATAAAAAAAAGTGATGGTGCTATTTTTTGTTTCGGTGAGTGCTGGAAATTCAAGTGTTGCCAGCGAAAACATGGCATCATTTAAGTCGCATGCACAATACGTAGAAACGTCTGTGTGACTTGAGTTATTGTGTGTATTTCCTCTAACCCCCACTGGCCGGCAGTGTTATTATGCAAGAACTATCTCTACAATGTCACATTTATGGTCATTGTAGACAGCTTTAGTCCGGGAGTTAGAAGGTGATAGCTCTATTGCAGATTCAGCAACCCATTTCAGAATGTCTGGAGAGTCACGCCCATTCCGAGGTTACTTTCACTTATAATAAGCCCCGCATGTATGCATCACCGTTATCAAATGGATATTGGTGATACATACACACACCGTTCGAAAAATTCATGTAAATTTCTGCAACATATAGCGCACATACAATTAACGCTAGATTTGGCATAAACTTACGCGATATTTCATGTAAATTTAAGCGCAATATCGCACAAATTAGCAATATTGTATGCAAGATTGTAAACGATTTAGATGTTTATGCCAAGTATAGCTCAACATTAAACGAAGGGAGATTTTATGCGATAGTTAAAATTCAGATTTTTTTTCTGTGCACTTCTAGGTTCGAAAATATTCTTTTCAACCCTGGCATGTATTTAGTTTAATTTTGATATTTAATTTGTAAACAAAAATTTGGACAGCTTCACCATATTCTGCTCTTCCACCGCCGTTAATTACTTCCTTTGAAATCCCTTGGACTTTTTCTCGTATTTCATTCCGTGCTTCACCGGCAATTTCCTCCGTAGATCGTCCGTGGTTGGTTGGTTCTAATATGATTCCGCCTTTTTTGATCGGTTTGATGTCCACCATATGTTATTGAACTGCCATGGTGATCTGGGACGAGGATCACGTCCAAAGTCGCTGGTCCACCGAGCGCTCCGTGTGCGAAAGGAGAATGAAAGAAATACGAAAGGGATCAGTTTCAAGAAGTGACAGTTTCAAGAAGTGACAGTTTCAAGAAGTGACAGTTTCATCAGATTCCCCAACTAACCATACTCAAGCAAAGTAAGAATATACAAGCTATATTGCGACTATATGGTTACTTGGGTACTCATATAGACGTCAGAATGGTTCATCGGTTGCGAAGTGAAATATTTTTGAAAGTGATGCGTAATATTTCTCAATGTTTTGATTTTATCCTAACGTTACCTCAATGTTATATCACAGATAAGCAGACACAACACATTGAACATTTATCATTGTAAACCCTACCGCCATCTGTCGTATACACTATGATGGGCAATACACTCAACAGATGGTTGTAGTGTGTAAACGTCAAACGCTAGGGAATTGATTATGTGCACCACAAGTGGCAGTACTACCAACTAAGAAACATTTAAATTGACCGTTATTTTGATGAACGTTTGAAGAGTGTTATGTCTGCTTGTCTGTGATCATACCTTCACTATCGCAAATTCGGGTAATCTGCGAAAGTACTTGCATTTTTCTCAGGCACTTTTGATCTAACTGCAATTACTCTCTCATACTCGAAATGTGCCACGACCAAATTGGCACAACGACGCCCTATACGCTCTCTGATCGAAGCGCAGGGTCTGATTTATTGTTTTACCCAAAATAGCATATTTTTCATCGTTTTTTAATGTTTCTTTAAAAACCTGTACATTTTCCGTTGAAGTCCGGGAAAAACCTGGAAAACTGAGGGAACCTTATTTAGATAAATGAGTAGACACTAGGGTTGTTCAAAATATAGATTTTGCTCCACCAAGCTCAATCGATTCTAAATCAGGTCCTGATAGTTCTCCCAAAATTTGAGATTATTTGGATGCGAACTCATACTGCACTCTCCCTGCGAATTTTATATGGGAAAAGAATTTTTTTTCTCATCGTCCTACCGCTTCACCATAATGATTTACGGAAATGTTTGCTATCTGGTCTTATGTGAAATTTTATCAGTTACAATGTTGCTAGAACTTTGATTAGGATTTTTTGCTCTATTCTTCGCGCCACACCAATTTTGTCTGATGAGCTTTTTATGGAGCATGTCCGAAGAATACCATCTTATTGATTAATTAATAACTAATTATCCTGATAAAATGAGGTCTTGAGCAAAGTTACAGCTGATAAAATTTTACAATTATACACATTTACATTATTATATATAGCAGACTGTGTTGTAGATCATTACATCGAAGGGCTAGAACGATGAAAACAAAAAGTTCACTTTTCCCATAGTAATTTCCATATAAACTTCAAAGGGCCAATGCAGTATGAGTTCGCATCCATTGAGGGGGCAAAACGAATATTTAGAACTACCCTAGTAGACACCCTGTATAAGAGATTGTCAGCTTCCTCTAATCTATACCAGTTAGATAGCTGTGTGTCGAGTACAATGACACAGAAGTCTGTCCTGGAGAAACTATCGAATGGACGGGAAATCAAACCCACCTACTCCAGCATGATTTATGACCGCATATTACATAGGGTTAACTACCCCATTTCCAGTCTATTAAGCACAGCCCGCACTTAGCCTTTCTTAATCTAGCGCAGTTTAGCACCATACGGGATGTTATTGTAACTGATGGCTTCCAAATTTATTTACCTTTCCGTATGTACCGTAAGATTTGATAAAAAGAAACCAATCGTTGAGATATTGTCAAAAGTCTAACACTGCTTCTTGACGCCATACTCGGCCTACGGATTCTAAACTCGGCGAAGCGCATTGAAACGCCATTGAAACGCCAATGAATTCACTTCGGCCTATCGGATGAAGATAAAAATTGATTCGGTCGGAGCGCTTCTTTTGTTTTTGGGAATGATGGGTGCAAACCTTCATACCACGCGTTCTCATTGACTTCGTTCAGTAGCTTATTAACTAAAGAATCGTACCAAACGCATATTTGACTTGTTAACTCTGAAATCATGTATTTATTTGAAGTTTTCTGCTTGATAGACCCAAAATGGGCGATTAGACCGAAGTAGTTCTCTACCATATTGCTATAAATAAATCTTTTTGTTTATTCCAGGCGAAGTGGACTTCAGAGAAGCTGCCTTGAAGATTTGGGCTCAGCTGATGGGCGGATGCTGCGTGTATCGTTATGTTCAACTGTACTGGTGGCTCGAATTGGCTGAAACCCACGAGGGCAGAGCTTTCGAAGAGTGCTCCGCTGATTTGAAGGTTCGTTGAACTATTTAAGAAATGCTAAGGTTATTCTAATACAAAACTTCTTCAACGTTCCAGGTGAACCTATATCTGGGAGCTTTCATCGAAGGTTTGGCCACCCTGTGCTGCCGTTTGGCTTCCAAGGTGATCTCCGAGAAGGATGCCAAGTTTGGCTCATTCATTGATTCTTTCATTGGAACCAGTTTGGTCGTGGCAGCTTTCAACTATTCCGGCGGATACTTCAATCCGGTTCTGGCCACCGCACTGAAGTGGGGTTGTGCCGGAAATTCCGCTCTCGAGCACATCATCGTCTACTGGATAGGATCGTGCGTCGGGGCTGTGCTGTCGGTGCCACTGTTCAAAACCGCCACCTTCAAAAATCTATTTCTTGCCGATAAGGTTAAAGCCGAGTAAGAAGGTAAACTAAGCTCGAAGGTGCCGTTTTGAATGCGGTTCTTGAAAACAACCACGAAAATATTCTAGTCACAGAATGTCGAAATTCGAACCCCATGTTAATTTATTTCTAACTCGCAATGTGCATTTCCGTCCCAAAATGTCTGAATTCCAACTGGTGTTACAATGAAATTGACCACGTACCCGAAATCTAGGCATTGTAGCAAATTGTAAAAATCGAAATCAACCGAATTATTTTCCACCCTGAGCTGATGAGTTCAACTTGATATCCGAAATCCGAACTTCGAACAACGGCGACCTTGGCCCTGTCAAAATTCCAAACCTCCAAAAAGTTCATCGTAAATTACACCCATCGATGCCAAAATTCTTCAGCTGTAACTCTACTCCATGACAATCAGGTCATGTACGTGGGCAAATTAGTTCGCACTTTACATGTACAACGGCCCATTGTTCCTATCAGCGGGCGGCGCCTTTGCCCAGTCGAACTAGCGTACCTATCAGGAAGCAGAACATTTTCCTGCAGCGCATGCCACGATGGAGGTTCAAAAGTTCTGATAAACCTCTGCAAATTCCATATAAATACTTAAGTTTTAGCAAATTTAATGCCAGTTCTAGTTTTACTGCAAATCGAAGTTTATTATCAAGAAATGCGACTTTCCAATGCAATCTCGTTCCTTTTGGCGCTCGCCTTCACCAGTCACGTGTATTCGAAGCAGCTGTTCAGAAACATGGAAACGTTCGATTTCGAAAGCAACGAAATCGTGGAACACAGCGACGACGCCATAAGATCGAATCGGTCGAATGTGGAGCGAATCAATTTAACCCTTCCCGGAACGAAATGGTGCGGCCCGGGTAATGTAGCTGACGACTACGATGATTTGGGCAAGCACGAGGACGAGGACAAGTGCTGCCGAGAGCACGACCATTGTGATAACATTGCTTCCGGTGAGGAGAAGTACGGTTTGAAGAACGACGACTATTTCACCAGGTAGGGTCGCTTTTAGTTAAAATTTTCCACCAAATATAGACTAAACACATATGTGCGTGCCTTCGGTAGACTTCACTGCAAGTGTGACCGAGACTTCCAGCAGTGCTTGAAGCAGATCAACACAACTCTCTCGAATCGTTTGGGAAGCTTTTACTTTGCGGTCCGAGATAAGTGCTACAAGAAACAGCATCCGATTGTGGAGTGTGGTGAAAAGAAGAACATGTAAGAAGCTTTGTTGCATTCTTTTTAATAAGTATGGAGTAAGATTCCAATGAGTTAATCTGTTTCCCAGGCTGTTCTTGAGGCGATGCACCCGGTACGTGCTGGATAGTTCAAAGGATCGCCAATGGCAGTGGTTCGATTTGCCATTCTATGATGACAATATGATCAACGATTTCTACTGAACATTGGATGATTGCTCAATAAAATTAACCGAAGAGGAACGAACTTTGTGGTTTTATATTAATTTATACAGAAGGACCCGAGCATCGATATTAGAAATTGAAAGAAGCTACACGCTACTAAATATATCTGTAAAATGATGCTTATAACGATTGACGATGGTCGAAATGGGGAAATATAGTCAACAATTAGATAGTGGTGGGCTTTTGTGTCTGCTGGATCACCTTAGAAGGTGTGTTCCGAAGAGCGGGGATATACACGAGTGGTACGATTTTCAGTAGTAGTAAAATTCTTCTTTATGTTGATTTATTATGTGGTTTACAATTGCTAATACAGGGCAAGAAGTTAGCCAGAAGGGCTCTTCATCTTTGGTGAACTTTTTGATTTTGTGTTGTACATGTTGTGTTTTACTGTGTAATGTTTTTTAAATTTTCTTCTTGTGAATTATGTTGTTTGAATGTATTAATTTGTTATTCTACCTACTTAACCTAACGTAACCTAACTTGCCAGATCCCTGACGATCTGTTGATCGGATCGCCTACAGCAATCTCTGAACCTTGCGATGGAGTCAGCTCTCCGTAACTCCAGTGTCTGAAGACCAGCCAGGCGGTGGACCTCAGAATTTCTAGTCCACGGGGGACTGTTAAGGATCATCCTCAGGATTTTGTTTCGGATCCTTTGGAGTTTGAGGTGATGGCATTTGGCGCAACTCTCCCAGATTGGCATCCCGTATTCTATTAAGGGAAGGATGATTTGTTGACCTCCTGCCCTGATAACAGGGTAGACCTCCTGTTCATGAGTGGATACAATGATCTTATCGAGATGTTGCACTTGGTTTTGGTTTTGTTAACGTGCTCCCTGAAAAGAAGCTTGCTGGCTAGGTACACGACCTCTTTGGACCATTCCACCACTTAGCCGTTTAAGCAGATCTTATTATTTTCAGTCGGAACAAGTCTGGGAGATTTTGAGTGTGGAAAGATGATGACCCGGGTTTTTTTTTCCGCGTTGATACGGATCTTCCAGCTGTTGAAATATTCAGACAGGACGTCCAGGCCTCTCTGAAGTTTGGCAGTCAGAGCTCCGATGACCCTGCCCTTGTAGACGATTGATGTGTCATCTGCGAACAGAGAGAACGATCCACCATCAGGGAGATCCGGCATATCGGAGGTGAACAAGTTGAATAGAATGGGACCAAGGATGCTTCCTTGTGGAACCCCGGCACCGATGTTGAAAGCATCCGATGTGATGGTACACAGAAAAAAATTCTGAATTTTAACTATCGCGTAAAATCTCTCTTCGTATAATTTTGAGCTATACTTGGCTTAAACAGTGAAATCGTTTGCAAACTTGTTTACAATATTGCTAATTTATGCGATATTGCGCTTAAATTTACACGAAATATCACGTAAAATTATGCCAAATCTAGCGTTAATTTTATGTGCGCTATATTTCGCAGAAATTTACTTGAATTTTTCGAACGGTGTAATCAGAGAGACTTGGAACGTCCTATCCGATAAATAGTTGTTTATTATCTTCACTAGGAAGATTGGAAGTCCGTACTGCTGCAATTTGAACACCAGGCCATCATGCCAGACATTGTCGAACGCTTTTTCAACGTCCAACAACGCCATGGCAGATGTTTTCCGTCTGAGAATGTTTGTCACTCGAGTCAGCTGGTGGACGGTCGAACGACCTTTCCGAAAACCAAACTGTTCCTCGAGTAACGAGTTGTTTTCTTCGGCACATGTTAGGAGCCGGTGGTAGACTGCTCTTTCGAAAAGTTTTGATAAACCTGAGAGAAGGCTGATTGGTCGATAACTTGAAGGACCTTCCCAGGTTTCCGGATGGGTATGACTTTAGCTGACTTCCAACACGAGGGGAAGTAGCCAAGTCTGAGGCACTGATTAAAAATCAGTGCCAGATGGTTGTAGAATCTGGAACTCAAGTGTTTGAGTTCCAGATTCAGGATGTTTTCGAAACATGGAGCCTTCATGTTTTTAGATGATTTGATAAAGGCCAACAGTTCGTCAGCCGTAATCTCAGATTTCTCTGGAAAAATGTTAGGAATCTGATGAAGATTGGTTGCATTTTCAGCAACCTCAGATTCATGAGGGCTGACGATGTTTTGTCCGAGATTATGGGAATTGACGAAGTGTTGACCTATCGCGGCAGCCTTCTCTTCAGGAGTTATCAGATGAACCACTGGGTCGCCGGGACGATCCAGTGGGGTCAGTGGTGGAATGGGTCTTGGTTTATTTTTAAGGATTTTCGTTAGTTTCCAGGGCTTTGCACAATCTGGGAGAGAGCGGATCTTGTTAGCAAAATCTTGATTTCTGAGGTCCACCATCCTGGCTTGGATGGTTTTTGTAAGACGATTGCAATGGGTCTTCAAGACACGTAAACCAGAACGCTGGTATTGCCTTCGGATGGAGTTACGGAGTCTGATGAGATCTTTGGTAATTCTATCAAGGCTCAGAGTATTGCTCACCTGTCTGGATACTGGCACGTGTTGTTCTCTGGCCCGGGATATCGCCTCCTTGATGGAACGCAGACACCGGTCAACGTCTTCGGGCGTCTCCGGAAAAGCACCGTAGTCGACAGTAGAGTCGACACAGTGTTGGAACTGCTCCCAGCTGACACGATGATAGTTGCGTCGGGAAGCTTGGATTCGGTAGACGGATAAGCCTACTTCGGCCACCACCGGATAGTGGTCCGAACTCAGCTCCTGATGGGTCACAGGTAGCGAGATGTTGTCTCCCATGTTGCTGATGAAGATGTCTATCGTGGAGTGAACACCATACCGGCTCAACCGGGTGGGACAGTCCGGCGCTAATATGGCGTAGCGAGCCTCTTCCAGGTCGTCGTTCAGGATGGTGCCGTTTTGGTTGCGTCGACTGTTGCCCCAAGCCTGGTGTTTGGCGTTCAGGTCGCCAGCGATGATGTACTTTTCGCGCCGTCGATTTAGTTTGATGATGTCCCTCCGCAGGTCTGTTGCCGACCCGTCCCTGATGGTGACTTGCTTGGGGTAGTAGGTCGCAATTACGATGTTCAGGAAGTGCGTCCAGATTTTGGCTTCGCCGATGACATTGAAATCATGGCACGTAACTTTGAGACGATGGCGGAAACGTACATCAGACCCAACCGGATTGGACACATCATCGAAGGGAAAATACATGAGAGGAAAAGGTTCAAGAGAAGACAATGTTAGTCTCCCACCACGAGTTCGGATTGATGGTGATGAAATCGAGGTGGTAGACGAGTTCGTGTATTCGGGCTCACTGGTGACCGCCGGCAATGACACTAGCAGAGAAATCCAAATACGCATCATGGCAGGGAACCGCGTTTACTTTGGACTCCGAAGAACGCTCTGGTCGAATAAATTCCGCCGCATCATGGAGTTGACTATCTACAAAACGTTAATTAAACCGGTGCGGTAGTCCTCTACGATCACGAGGCATGAACTATTGTAAGTTACGGCTTGCTTTTCAGCGTATAGCTGGCCCGGGCAAGTGTACTTCCTCCAAAGTCGTTCGGATTAGGGTGAAACAACAAAACAACAAGCAGGAATCAATTTTAGACGTCTATTAACTACCTTTTTTTCTCCTCCTCACTGTTTATTGCTGCTGGTGATCTCGGTGGGGCCCTTTGACGACGATGGCAACGGTTCTTGTGCAACAAAGCAAGAAATTTGCTGAACGGGTTTCTTCTACTTCGGCTGCTTAGCAGTTATCTTTGACATTTAGCGGGGTGGAAGTGCAGGGTTACTTTGTCGGAACCCCTCGGCGACGGTGGTGACGAAGCACCGGACCAACTACTCGCCGTAGCTGGTCTAGTAGTCACCGACAAACCAACCCGGTGAAAACTAACGATTTTAAATTGGCTCACACTAGACTAGCCTATCGGTCCCAAGTACTTAAAAAAATTACATTTGTTATTTAGTATTAAGAAATTATGTGTTATATGTTACCTCCACGGGATTTGTTTTCTATGTGTGTTAATTGCAAAGCTGGAAGTTGTAGCAGGAGTGATTAGTGACTGGACGTTCGAAGAGTGCACGCAAGAGGACGAACAGTATACCAGTGCAAAAAACCGTGTGATACTTTTACCCTCACTCGGATTTGAAGATAAGTGAAGATCGACGACGATTTTTCGGTCGTAGTGTAGACGGTGGTTTTCCTCCGATACTCGAACCACCCGGGATCCGTTCTATCGGAAAAATTCTACGTGTGTGAGGTGTTATCATACGTGCTCGATCAGTGAAGCTTTGTCGAAGAGTGTGAAGGTTGGAAAGCCGCGGAGTTCCTTAATTCCGGAGTCGGATATATGACCGAGCACGTTTACTGGTGTTTGTGAAGAGTACCAAATTACCCTACCGTGGACGTCGTTCGGGAATATCTCTCTTGGCAGCAGTGAGACCGACGGTCCGTCCATTCATTTTGGGGTTCCTTCCATTCATTTTGGCTAAAAAAATGTTTTATAAAATTATGGAATAATAAGATATTATAATAATATTTTGTTTGTGTAAGCAACAAGAAAAGATTGTGGAGTTTGTGTTTGACACATAATACCAGCCAATGTTGCTGCATGAGAGTCGCAATAAGCGATTTTGTCATTTATCTCACCCACTCTTCACTCTTCACTCTTCACGAAGAGGCGATCAGAAAATCGCTCATTGTGGCTCTGTCAAAGCTAAATTTGCAGGTTTTATGTGTCAAACACAAACTTTAAAAATTTGCCTTGTTCCTTACACACACAAAATACCATCATAATATCGTATTATTCCATAATTTCCTAAAACATTTTTTTAGTCAAAATGAATGGAAGTCACCCTGCCGACGGACAAAAACTACGTGCTTTATGTACTCCAACAAGACGTGAACCAAACACTACACACGGTTGCCGAAGAGATAAACGGACGCTAAGGAGATCCTAGCCCAGTAAGGACCGGGGTGTTCGCCCCCACTTGCTTGTGGTTGGACCGATATGTCTAGATAGAGCTGGAATTAGGACGTAACAGCT